ATGATACAGAAAACATTTACTATTTAACAATTGTATAAAGGAAACAAAATTAATAACATCTTTAATACCTACATTTATTTTAAATTATAAAAAACATTTATTTAATATTATTCATATACATTTAATTATAAAAACACATTTGAGCAATTACTATTTTTATATGAAAATTAAAAATTTTATTTTCAAACTTTAAATATTAATAACAATCCTCAAATAGTTAAGATACTTACCTACTTTAAATCCTTTTGTTTGCATATTAAAATATTTTATTTTATAGTTATAATTGTTTTAAAATAACAATAATTAAAAAAAGTAATAATAGAAATTAAACTTTACCATTTGAAATGGCCAGCAGTAGTAGGTCTTGTACAATAATCATCATGCCTTCTTTAAGTACTTCTTCTTTCTTGAGAGCTCTAACATATACTTTGGCATCTAAGGGAAGTTCACAATTGGCCATCTCTCGCATAGTTGGTAATTGTAACATTAGTCTTAAATGATTACATATTATACGTAAACAGTCCAACTTAAAATCTACATGTGCAGGATATTTATATAGGCAGCTTAAGGAAGTTGCACATAAGGCACAATATGAAAAACGTCCTGTTTGTGATAGACATTCAGCTAGATTTTTAGTGTTCAAGGAATCTGTAATTCAAAATAAAATGCACAAAATATTCAATATTCAATAAATTATGTTTCCCTATATATAAGGCTTAAGCAGTATATCTTTACAACAATTAGCCATTGTATTATTTCACAGAATAAAAATGATTCTCTATTGCACAGTTACGCCAGCATCATAAAATTATGTTAAATTCAGTGTACAAGATTAGTTAATAACAAATGTAAAATAGGTACCTATATAACTTAACTAAAACTTTTTATATAATGTTTCGACTCGAAATTATACAATTTACTTAAATAATTTAAGGTGAACAACAATAGGTAGGCGGAAAAAAAGCCCACGGAAAAAAAGCCCAAAAAAAAAAATACACTGAGGAAAAAAAGCCCACGGAAAAAAAGCCCAAGGAAAAAAAGCCCAAAAATATAAATATAAATGTGAACAAAATATAATAATATATTAATAATACATTACTATACTATAACAGATAATAATCATAAATAATTGTATAAGAGGCATATATAGGTAATTTTATAAAAGAAAATATTAAAATTTCAAATATGACTTATACATAATATATAACTATTGAAAATTTTTAATGTATTTTAATTTAAGAAATATTATTAAGGTATATTATTATATAGAGGGTTTGATACTGCCATGAACTGATGAACCACCTGTCAATAAATTGCATTTTTATTACCCAACTATTGATAAGCACTTTTACATTTAATTTAATTTATATTGTTCGGTACTTACCAATATAATTTATATATATAACCAGTCAAAATGTTAAAATTTATCAATAACTGGGTAATATTGACACTCCATATAGTACTCCATTACTTGGTTATTGAGATCCTATCTACACGTCCTACTAGTACAGTTTTATCCAGTTATACATTTGTTATATATTTTATACTTTTGTTTTACCAATTTTTGTGAATATGGAGATTATCAAATTAAATAAAGGTGGTAACAAAGGTTTTTACAAAGGTTATGTATATGTTGTAAAGTATATTGGCGTATCAAAAATAACCTGGAGGTGTTCTCAGAGGTGTTCAATGAAATGTACTGGAGAATTATACACCGATCTCAAAATGGAGAACCCAGAAGTAAAAACAGGACATAGTCATTTGAAAGATGATGACATAAAATATTTATATTATTATTGTATTATTACAGTTGAAAATTGACTGACCTGCTGTGACTATTACTATTATAATTAACAATTAATTATTATTTTCATTATAATATATAATAATATATTATTATATTTTGTTCACATTTATATTTGTATTTCTGGGCTTTTTTTCCTCAGTGTATTTTTTTTTTTGGGCTTTTTTTCCGTGGGCTTTTTTTTCTGGGCTTTTTTTCCTTGGGCTTTTTTTCCGCGATTCCAACAATAAGCACTTGAAAATATTTATGTAAGAAATAATTCTAGAACTAGAATAAGTTACTACTTAATAACTTGAATCATTGGCATGCTTGAGGGAGGGGGGTCAACCCACCACCACATAGACACTTGACAAATATATATGTACTTATTTAATTATTAAATTTCTTAATTTTAGATCAAGTAATTTGCTACATTTTCAACCAACCCCCCCCCCCCCCTCCCCAAAAAAAATAAAAATAAAAATTCGAAATTCCTGAGCAGGCCTCAGGTTTTAAAAACTTGTTACCAAAATGATACTATAATAATTAATAGTAGGTACTAAATAATAGTTTAATTTCACTATTTCAGTGAAGACAGATATCAACTACTATTCAAACATATGGCCAAACCGTAGTATATAATGGTGCTTTACCTATTGGTTATTTTAATTTTAAATAAAAAATAAAATTATAAAATTGCTGTTATTTATTATATTTAATGAAAATTGTAGTAAAAAGATTATAAGGGAAGTTTAGAATACACAATCTCTAGCCTCTGGTAATAAGTAAGTCGAATAATATATCCAATTTTTAATACCAAAATAATCTAAGTAAAATCAAAAAATTATTTTATTTTAATAAAAATATAGGTGTAGAGCATGCATGAGAAAATTAGAAATAATATTATGAATACATAAATTATAATTTTAAACTTCTAGAATATTCTACACATACACTCTTTTTTAGTAAAAATAATAATATTATTTTTGTTGTACATAACTTAACAACCATATGTAGGATAAGTACAATAAACAGGGGCATTTTTAAAAATACACCTGTTGGTGAGAATGACTAATATGTACATAATGTAGGTAGGTATGCATAATCTGAATGTTTTAATCGTTGGGAATTCTTTGAGGCGTAGTAGAAGTAATATTAGAAGTGGTAATGGTAGTAGACAGTCTTTTCCTCGAGCAGAAAATCTATCTTATTGTTTACCTTTAATGTGCTGAGAGGCTTTGTCGTATTTGTCCATTGTATTGGTGTTAACTAGTTAACATAATAATAACAGTATAACTTGGTGTAAGAGATAGCCGTGACGAATTACGTTGGACAAATTTAAAGACTAAACAAAAAATTTTTAAAAGCTAGTAAACCGACATACGAGTATAGGTACGACAGAAGTACTTCGTAATACTGACTAACACAGATAAATGATAAACAACCAATAGATACAACTATAACTATTAACTGTCTAGTGACTACTGTTGTGCAATTTGTGTCAGATAAGATATCTATAGATAAGTCATAAATTATGTTCGCTTCCGCAGTTCAGAAACTTCAATGGTTCAATGGTGACAGCCGACTCGGCCGAGGTAAATTATTTTTAAACCTTGAATTTTCACACAAGTTTGATAACTGATAATATCATAGAACAACAATGAAGATAAAAAAACGTGTGTTCAGCTGTTGCTGATAAGGTAATAATCATAGATAACATATAAATTACACATTTATGTGGGTGTGTTTGGTCATCGGTGGGGTGAAAACCGAGGACAACTTAAGCAGATACTAAAATATACAAATGTAACACCAGTAACACCTTCGGCGATATTGAAAATATAAATTAAGTTGAATTAATTAAACTCTGAGGATAGAAACCCGATCATCCGGGTCCAAGTCCACGCAATATCACAGAATAAAATATTCGCTCAGCACGTGACGTAACCATGGTAATAATTTAAGAGGACGCAACATGTGTTGTCTCAGTCTTACAAACGCGTAGCATACCAAATTTACGCTCAGAAATTCAAGTTTTACGCCGTTGGCTTAAAAATCTGAGTAAATCGACTTATTATGAAACTTGATGGCGACTGTTTAACTTGATTGATCTGTGTTTTGTTGGAAGATTTTTTACGATAATTCAGTTTTTAAGTGAGTTATGAGCATTTTTAATTTACATTTATTATGCACGCTATAACTCGCTTAAAAACTGAATTATCATAAAAAAACTTCTAACAAAACACAGACAATATTGTTACCATCAAGTTTTATAATCGGTCGATTCATTCAGATTTTTAAGCTAACGGCATAAAACTTGAATTTCTGAGCGTAAATTTGGCACGTTTCGCGTTTGTAAGACGGTAACAACACGTCATGCGGGTGTCGTGGTCCACTCGTGGACAATTTTCATGACAAAATAGACAATATTATGCCAATATGATAAATGATAATACGGGTAAGCAAGACGGGACGTATGCCGTATGCGCGGAGTGCGGACTTGGACTTGAGTTGGACTAAAATATTCACACGAATTTGAGGCAACGGCAACCTGTATTATCTATAAACGTCCCCGCCGAAGGACGTGCGCAATCTATCGGTGAGACGAGAGAGACAAGCCATGGCGCAGTGCAGCCAGAGTCGGTGACGGCGACGCTCCCGGCGAGAAATTCGACGCGCGACTGGGCGACGGACATGCCTCGGTTATGCGGCCATCGCGTCTTCCTTTCTTTAATCTTTTCCACTCTTTTCCTTTTCACGATCCTACGGCGTCGTACGGTCGTGTAGAGTCGGCAGTCGCCTAGTCTAGTTCTCTAGTAGTCTCGTCAGTCAGTCGTCTCCACCGTCGTTGTTTAACGTACACTCGACGCGTATGTTTATTTTGTTTTATTGTTTTCTTTTTTTATAATTATTATTTTTCACTCGGCGAGTGTTGTACGCGTTCTTTGTGTCCTCCGCCGCCGCCGCCGCCCATGCAGTGTCACTCCTCCGCCATGGCGTCCGATTCGCGTCTGTGATATTCGACGTCACCGGATTTCTCGTGCTCTACATCGCCACCTAACTCTTTGCGTTTCTCGTTCGTAAAATAATATTCGTCCGTTATAATATATTTATAATAAATACACTCGCGTATTTACCCCTATCTATATTACATACTTTATAAATAAGTATTTGTGTTTGATCTTATTTTAATAACGTTAAAACCTAACGAGACACAATGGAAGGCAGCAGTAGCAGCAGTAGCAACAACGACGCGGGTGAGCCGAAATCCGGGTGCTGCACCGCCGCGGTGGACAACAACAACGACGTTGTGACCGCCGCGGCCGCGGCCGCAGCGGCAAAGGTGGCAAGAAGAGCGGCCGCTGTTGTGGCGGCTAAGCGAGCGGCGAAATCTCGTACCTTGGAGATGGAAAACAAGCAGTACCTGGATTTACAGGCCGAGATTGAGAGGCGGAAGACCTGGGGGACGACAGGCGACAACTACCAGCCGGGCCCAAGCGGTGCGACCGAAGACCGCAGCAACTCGGACCCTGAAGGAAGGATCTTCGCCGCCGCCGTCCAGGCTGTCATGGCCAACCATGCGGTGAGAGAGTCCGAGATCACGATCACCGTCTCGCCGACCACCGGCGGCCAGTTCGATCTGGACGTGCTCAAGACCGATTCGGTAGAAAGTCTGAAGAAAATGATCTCCAAACGGCTGAGAGTGCCCAAAGAGCGGATATGCCTGCTGTACCGCGAGAGGTGAGATAAATTTCCGTTTACATTTTTCTTTTCTGTCTAAACGGCCGCCTCTGTTTCCGTCCTTTTAACGGACACCAGGCTCGACCGTCAACACCTGGCCACGGGGGGCTGGTAAGGGGCCACAATTGGCGTTAAGGCGAGGCCGAGCGCATCCTCGGTGCTTCAAAGTACGAACCATGAAGTATCCACCTCCAGGTCGGGCAGACTTCGGCTGGCCGGCATTTCCGTCCGATAACGAAGCCAACGCGCTTGGCCCATTGTTGTTGTTGTGGTGGGGGGAAGGGGTCACGACCCTGTTTTTTTGTTGTGCGTGCCGACCCGTTTTGACGCGTACCCTCGGAACAGCTGCTCGTTTGAGATAAAAATTGTTGTTGGTTCCTCGAATCCGGACAGTTGTGGTGGGGAGGGGGCGACGGTTCGGGTATAATAATATTATAATGGTGCCGACGTTGCCGTTCCGTCGGTTCTCGGTCACCGACGTCCATCGCGCGTGGTGTTTCCAAACCGTTTGAAAACGCGAGTGGATAAGATATTGTTTGTTTTTCACCGTCCCTCTGTTGGAAGGGGCTTTGCGGTAAATCGTTGGTAAGCACTGTCTATCGGGAGACTGTGCCCGATTTCGAAACGAAACTTTCAAAAACCGTGGCTCTGCGAATCCATGTCAACAGGATTTGCACGCCCGTGTAGCCTATTGTCGACGGATTTCAATAATTCCGTTGCCGGTTGCGTTCGCCGTAGGTGTCCCGACCGGGAGAGCTCGTTCCGGTGTTCGCCCGTCCTCCTTTGCCGATGCTATCGACCGGCGATAGCGCGGGTTCGCTCGTTTCCCGGAAGTTGCATTTATTACGATTGTGTGTGTATATTTAATTATTTAGGGCGATTCAAAAAATCAAAACATTCGTTATCAAACGGACCGCCCCCCCCCCTAACTATACCACCACAGAAGCAGCAGCTGTTTGCGAGTGACTTTCGTAGATATTTTGAGACGAGAACAAACAAACAAAGATACCTATATAATATTAATTTTGGGTAGGTATGTGAAATAATGTCTGTCGTCCCGCGATTCGATCGGTCGGTCGTTCTTTGTTACGGGACGCGTTCAGAAACGATTACGTCGTTTATTCCTTTCCTCTTTCGAACCCCCGCAGGTAACCCGCAGACGATAAAAGGTTATGGGTGTAATATTCATTTCTCGTGCGGTCGGCGGTTGATGTTACGCAAGCATCGGCGGCGGCAACGGAGTCGTATCTTCGCCCGAGCGTGGGATCGAAATCCCAACAGCTGACACCGTCGCCGCTCCCCTATCCGAGGCCACCGCCATTACGGATTCGGGGGTGAATAACCCGACGCTGCGAGACGGGTCCCTCTCGTAGAGTTGTCGGTTGGACAAGTGTAGAACAGCTGCTTGGTCGCCCTCTTCTCTCTATTGTCCGCCCAGAAGAAACACGTCATCGCCGCTTGTTTCTAAACGTCGTACCCCGCCCTGCTCATCGGACATTATGATGTTCGTGTGGTCTTTTCGAAAGAATTCACCGAAAAGCACCGCGTCAAACGCAGCTTTCTCTAGTCCCGGAAAACCAGGGGTTCGCAGAGCGCGTGCATCCGTCGTCGTCGCCTCTATTGTTTTCCCCTCCGCCGTTTGTATTCTCTCGGGTATTTTTTTTTTTTTTACCTTACGTTTGTGATCGAACGTCGTGCGCACACGTGAAATAAATATAATGATAATAAAAAAAAATACCTCATATTACAGCAACGTTGTTTATCCACATGTTACGACAATCGCGCGGTGGATGCAAACTATAATAATAATATAATACCTACACGTAATTCGACGCATTTATGTAACGCGTCTGTAATTATTGTTATTATTATTATTGCGTTTAAACCTTGAAAATCTCATTGTTGCTTGCAATCGGTGTTTATTACCGTTGTTGTTATTTTTTAGGTATAATTTTTCGAGTTTTCACGGGACCGATAAATAATTGTCTCGTAAATATTCGATAGGTAACGATGGTCATAATTATACACGTAAACCAAGATTTTTCGAGTCTTATGCCATACAGTTACGGATCAGACGTTTATTGATTTATGGTCTTTGTCTTTTTTTTTTTGTATTGTAGGCAACTAAGAGATGGCTCGTTGGACGACAACCAGTTGATGCAAGGAAGCCGCCTCACCCTATTGCCCAGCGTGGAAACCGGTCTTCTGGTGAGTAAATCTTCATTTTCGTCTCTTTTATCCCGGCCCTCCCACCCTTTACCCCTCGACGATAAACCAGTTTAAAACATAAAATAATACCCATGTATTGTGTGTCCTTATTGCCACACATCTTGATAATCACGATATATTACATATTATTATATATTATACTACTACTATTATATTATACATTATACACACCGAACGGCCAATGTGCACGCACAAGGACATATTATTCTCATCGCAGCTTGAGATTTTAGAATGTCGAAGGAGAGGGAAATCAAGTAGGCCTTGTTCTCCATTGCTCCTTCCACATTTTGATTTCCCTAAATTTCCATACGCCCGATGACACTAGAGGTTAGACCGCCTACAAATAGTGCAATAATATCGACGGTGGATCAATATTATAAAAGACCACTCGAGACCAACCATCTAGTAAAAAAAATTGTTTAGTATAATTATTTCTAAAATCACAATCGGATTATTTATAACTAATTTATTTATGGCTCAGAAAAAAAGTTTCACGTCGAACATTCATAAAATAACGTTGTGATTGTATTAGTTAAGTTTTGACTTATTTCGTTGTTATGGGCACCATGATACGTTTGTATTATATACACTACGGTCGCCACGGTATTATTGTTATTTTAAATTTATAATTTATATATATGCGTAGAGCACTGTTAACGTTAAAATACTAAATATTTAAAAGTCATATCATTAAGTGTTATATTATTGACATAATACTACGTTATGAAATTCTGAAATCGTATTTTTATAGTCAATTTATTTACATTATGTACCTGATGCCTATCTTGTAACATTGTAATTTATGGTGTCACTCCTGTGAAACCAATTTGGATGTACTTTACTACTGTCATCTGTATTTTGGAATATTATACACTTTACACTACATTTTAATGTACCTATAAGTTATTTAGAACATTTATGGATTGTATAACTTTATGGAACTATCTCGGTATTTTTGCTGTTTATGTACCCACCCTTATAATATAATATCTCAACAGAATAATTAATTTTAACATTTTGTTATTTATTCGGTTTTTTAGATGTTATAAAAAACTGTAATAAAATATTTCATAGTCTAATACAAATTTGAATTAAAAAGAAATTCATAGAAACCCTTATCACACTAATTTAAGCTAACAGCTCGCATGAACTGTACGAGATAGTAATATTTCAGAGACAATCTAAATTGTGTTCTTTGTAATTTTTAGTTTAATGTTGCGCAGTGTAATACGCAATCCTTGTGCTGGTGAATGTTTCTTTAACGTGTCTTGTACAAACCATAAACGACATTCATAGAATGTAAATTATAATATTATAAAAATAATAACAAAACTAAAATATAAATATTATCGTATTAGTTATTTAAATAGTTACTATAAGTAATACGTTTTTTGATTAACATGATTTTTGCATACTAAAACCAGGTATTTTTAATTTGCATAATATATTAGTAACTGAATATTACTGTGATTGGATTTAATTCATTAGTCACAAGTAAAAAACAATAATATTAAGTACCTACACTTAGCTCGCTCTACTATCTAAATTCTATTATACCGTGTGGGTTCAAGAATAATAATTTTAAATCGATAGTCGTCATATTGATTATTGTATAAATAAATAATGCATATAATATATTTGTAATGTTTGTATGTTTTTAACTATCAATACTTCATTTGCAATAACTGAAATAGTGAAACAATATTCATAGTACTTGCTTGAATACAAATTCCTTACTTGAAATTCCTACTTTAATATAATACTTACATATAGTACCTAATGTTAAGTTTATTTTGTTTTTTAAGTCGTAGATAGTTAATTATATGATTTCACTATAGAAGTTTTCATTTTTCCTAAGTTGTTATTAAAGAATTATATTAAACTATTATAGTAGGTATGATATTTAATTGCGAAATTGTCATAAAGTATAATCACCTCGATAAATATTAAATTACAAACTCGACAACCACATTACACAGTCGTTCGAATAATTCGTTTTTAATAATTAAAATCTGAAAACAATCATACAAAACTACAAACGTTATGTTGCGTTTAGGTTTACACGAAAACCCTACGAACGCAACAACGCTGCGGTTTTTATGTTCACGGCTCGTAATATTGCGATTTATATTATTATTATTTAATTTGTTACTATACTATGTTGACGTATCGTTCGTATGCGATTGTTCGAAAGTATTGAGTATAAAGTATCGAACAAAAGTTCCCCAATTGGTCAACACATAGTTGGCGAATGTGCGCCAAGCATGATTTTCGAAAGCAAGGGGGCGCTGTGAATGCCAAAACCGTGGACTGTTAATTTTTTTCATCATTGCCATCTGCATTATTATTATTTTGTTAAATAACAGATTTTTTTCGGAGTACCCTGTAACGGGGCTGTGACTGTGTCCCGTTATGACTACACATCGCCGGCTGTCCCGTTGTCCGGGTAACGGGATCCGGGCAACGGTATACACCTCGTGTCTGCGGCTCGTCGTCGTAGACCGTAGTCGTAGTGATTCGAATAATAATATTCTCTATTTCTCTCTCCTCACGCGGACCAAAACGCCACCGAACTCCAACGGTCAACACCCGTTATGACCCGATCGTCGTCGGGGCCGGAGGTGGGTTCCGCAGTCGTTTCATTCCGTTCTTTTAAAACATTTAATGAATTCCTGTTGTCCGCCCAAATTAAAAACGTATTTTCGAATAAAATTAGCTACCACTATAACATGTTTCTAGTATACCTACTGTCCAAATCGTTAAGCCGAACGATAATAATATATGGTGTGCAGGTCGTAGGTGTTCTAAAAAAAAAAAACATTTGAACTAGTGTCAAAACTCCTTCGATAAAGCTGTCCAGTCCGCGAATCTTTTTTATCATACTTGTTACTTATTGTATTCATTGTACTTAATAAAAGGATTGTAAATATTCACTTTCTTAATAAAAAAAATTGGTTTATTACACTTAATTTATAATACATTTTTCAGAAACACATAAATATAATTTGTATTAAACACAACACCATTCACTAATAATGTTCACGTTTAACTGTTGAAGTGTAAAAAAAGTTAAATTATGAACAAAATCTACATTTGGTACATAGTATATTATTAAGTACCCGGGTACTCGTTGTAATGATTTTAAATCTATTATTTTATTCGCCTCTGGTTTAATTTTACATAATATGTGTACCTTGAATATATCTGACTTGTTATGATAGAATTTACTCAAAACCTCTAGGCTCCACCTTAAAGTTTTTATCTACACAACGTGCATGCTACGTTACTAAAATAAACAATATAGAGCTAGAAATATACTGCTACGGCCTACGTTAAAGTACTCGTGTATCGTGATATATTTTGTTGTTACATTCTATGTGATATTGATATAACTTTACTTAGGTTTAGGTATAGCTTAAATATTTTGGTTTTAAATTTAAATACTTATTTAAATTAACTAATATTTTATAATATTTTTTGTTAAAATGTATGTCAATAGTTTTATAATATTATTGACTAGGTTGTATTTTAACTATAATAAAATGTATCTAATGTTAAGATGATTTCTCACCCTCTTGTTTACGTCTTACAAAACAAACCCACAATATCATAGCAAATTTTAGTTCGGCCGAACTAATCATGTGTTGTTATCTTTAATTTAAGAGTGAATTAATCTATTATCAAGCTTAAATGTGAGAACTTGGTTGTGGTCGGTACGTCGGTATTTGACAATACTTCATATTATTTTTACCAGTTTTTTGAGTATGTTAAATATTGCAATTTAAAAATTTTCAGAAAAAATAAAATATTGTCAATGGCAGGCACAGTCGTACATACACGAATATTATTCTTAAATAAAAGTTTGATAATAGATCTAACCTGATATTAAAGGTAACAATTATTAGTTTTACTGAACACAAATTTGCAATGTTGTACGTTTATAAAGACTGATACAACACATGCGGGTATGACGTACGGGTCTACCTACTACAAAAATAATATGTAAGTCGTCTATATGCGTTTTTATTTCACAGTACCTACTGTTTGTTACGTATGACGTACTTAATGTAAACAGTTAACAGTTTGACATTATATCATACATAATGTTATAATATTATTTTAAAATAAAAATAATGTTTTTGTATAAATGAAACATGAATAATACAAAATATACTTATCTAATATAGTAAGAATTTTTTTTTTGATAGTTCCTACAAGGGCAAAAGTACAGACAAAATGTAATACTTATATGTTACAATTAATTATTATAGATAATAAATAAATTATAACATAATTTATTTAAAATATTTTTGATATAGTGAACATAATAATTTATAATTATCCAAATATTATATAAATAGTATTATTGTACTAAAAAGAGGACAACGCTAAGTTAAGCTAAATATAGAATTTACATTTATAATTATATGCAATCTTGTTGAATTACAATTTTGGTTTGAAATTAATAACCGTCTAATGTCAAATATCAGAACCCACGTTTCTTAATGTAAATATTTTAGTAGGTATTTTTTATATAGTATTTTATATGTAGTGTCTAAACAGGAAAGTCATAGTATTTTCCTGTTTTAACTTAATTTAAAACGGAAAAAATTGTGGCTCACGCTGTATTTATTAAAGTTAATACCTAGTTAGATCGTGTAACATAAAAAATTTAATTAGTCTTAAACTTTACATCGTTGTGAATAAGGTATATTAATATATTTATAAGGTCAATTTTTATACTTTTGGAAATAGGTAGTTAAAAATATTAATTTTTTTTCTTAGGTCTGTTAATGACTCAATAAATATTTATGTTTTGGGTTAAATTACATAAAATGTCATGAGATTTTTGTTTGGCCTTTGTGATTTTTAAGTGAACAATAATAAACAAACTTCACTCTACCATTTAACATTAATTAATCGACGTTTTAATGATTTCATTTCACATTTTAATAAAAATAAAATTCATAATTTTTATACGTTTTCGATTGTTTTCTCTGTATCTTGTCCATGTAAAAAGTTTTAAATGTATAAGATTAATAAATATATATTTAACATATTTATAAATAGTTAATCGTAATACTATCCTAATTTTGTATTTTGTGCTGTTTTTTTTGTAAACAGTATAATTACTGTATAAGTAACTATTATGTTTACAATAATTATATAATAATAATGATATATAATTTAATAAAAATATAAACACAATGAAATAATATATATTATAATAATACCTATATTAATTTCAGAATTAAATACTCAAAATAGTAACTTAAAATATTATTTATTTAAAACTTTGCTGTTGAACTGTTTTATATATTATGTATAGAACATATGTGTTTTTACAGTTACAATTATTAAAAAAATATGTCTGTGCTAAAAACTTGTATATGTTTTGTGTAAAAGTGGATCAGCGTTGTTGCGTTATTCCGTTCTAGATATACAGTCGGCAAAGCGAATCGCGTGGTTTACGAGTATGGGAAAAAAACCACTGATATAATATATTTTTACCATGTTATCACAGTGTGTCCCAAATAAGTACTATCGAGTTTTGTTAAGTAGACATTACTTCGGGCCAAAACTAAATCATAAATTTCATTTAGACTTGAACACGGAACCCTATATAAGATAAATATAAACTGTATATTTACAAAATTGGGCGGGCCGTCTTCCAAACCGGGCGTTGACCTTATCAGAGGGACCTTGTGAATCCAGGACCACACCCTGCCGATAACATTTTATTAATATTTATCGTTACGTATAATAATAATACCTATATACACATTTCTATGTACACAAATCATACATTCTCATTGAGTAGGAATTGTAAAATGTCTCCATATTTATAGTGTATAATGTTGTATTGTGTTTAATATAGCCTAATTTTTATTTTTAGGTTCAGAGACCAGAACAAAGTGTGATGCAGGCGTTGGAAAGTTTGAACGACTCTCAGGTAATTTCACCATTTAATACATTTCTTTTGACTAAAGATGATTAAAGATTCATGATATTTTGCTGTTGACCGTGTAACAATGGTTTTATACACCGTTATATTTAGAATGTGTAAAATTGTTTTAAAAGAGGCACAGACTGTTAAATCGTATATTTTTGTGTAAGTGATAACTTCAATGCCGTTAAACATAGTATAAATATATTTAAGTACGATAATATTGTAATATTATGTTAACTGATACCTGATGAGTAACTTTCCAGTTATCTTACATACTTTTGATGCGTTTGTATGACGTGTGTATTTTAAGTTTTAACAAATAAGTAGGTAGGTATAACAAATAAGTTTTTAACGATGGTGTATAACTGAATAAGTCATATTTAAGTTTCTAGAATTAATTAATTTACGATTGGAATTATACTTTAAAAAAAAAATATTTCATCCACATCGATAGTAAGATTTTGTTAGTAAATTTCTTATCATATTTTCTAACTTAATTTTCGAATAATTCGAAAAACTGACATATCTTAGTTGAACGTTTTGGAGCATGAGCTTAGAGTATACATTTTTTAAGAAATGACATTTCAAATTTTTATCATTCAAGTATTCATTAAACTATTTTCAAACTTAGACGGCATCTAGTGGTTATAATATGAACTTTGGCCGCATAACATTATTACGCAATGTGTAGAATTGATGGAAATTAATGTCATACTTCACTTCTTTTATTAAAATATGTCATTCGTTACACCCGTGCGGGTTGTTTATTGTATAACAAAGTAAATACATTTGATATATAACCACGACACATTATGTATTTGCATTTTACTATAGTTCCTAATTCGTTTTTAATTTGACGTTGAAAGCTTATTAACGAATATTGATACGCAAAAGTGTGTACCTATTTATTTTTTTTCAAATGCTCATCTGAATAGTTTTACGGACACATTTTGATCATCTTATATTATTTATTTAATTGTATAGTATATACATTTATATTTGGTAGATATCTATTCTGTACAAACCATTTCATAACATCGCGAACTACAATATTGTTTTGTTGTGCATTTAAATTTAAATTAATTTACGTCACTACCGCCAACATATGGCCTATATTAAATGTTTGCTTTTATTGTTATTAGGTCAACGATTTCCTATCGGGCAAAGCACCATTAAACCTCACGATGAGACTGGGCGATCACATGATGCTCATCCAGCTGCAATTATCGACGGTGTCGTCGTCAGGTTCGTCGAAACGACTGCAGACCGCTGCCTCGACCGTAGCCAGCACCGGTGCAGCGGCGGCCACACTAAACGCGTCGACCGTGGCGCCCGAACCACCCCAGGCCACTGCGACGGCGGCCACCGCGTGTTCTGCCGGCAACATCATCGGCACCCCTAGACTGATCCCCGGCGTGGACGCTTATCCGATCACTCGCGTCCGTAACGTATCCGATGACAGCGACGACAACTCGATGGATACGACCGAGGAAGTGTCACCTCCGCCCCCGGCACCGATAGTGGCCGCGGCTGCAGCCGCTGCAGCAGCAGCCGCCACAGCTGCAGCCGCAGCAGCCGCCGCCGCTGTACCCACGCCCGCACCGGCGGTGACGCCTTGCTCTTGCGACGCGAGCACGTCGACAGCGTCCCCCAACACGGCCACGGGAGACAAACCGCAACTGGACACCCGAGCTCTCGCCGAGGCTTCGCGGAACCTCACTCAGACCCTAAAACAACTGTCTTCGGAAGTACTCACCACGAAAAGCGGTTCCAAAGAGGTGAGTGGCAATAATCATTTATTCAACGTAGTTTCTTACGATTTTTTTTTTTGCAAAACGGCATCACGAAAAAACTAAAATATCCGAACGGTATGAGAATGGGATTTTTTTCGTCGTGGTAGACAATTTCTACAACAACGTCGTGCGTCGCGTCTAAAATTAGCGCGGAGTATACCTATAATAATAATATGTGTGTTATGTCATAAAGTCGATATTTTCTGGGTGATTGATTTAAATTTGTTGTGCCCGGACGTGTGTCTCGTATCGTAGTCGCGTAGTATCGATTGTTGCGTGGGCGGCAACGTCGCAATCCGGCAACGCGCGGGGCCCGGGGGTATACTAATTTCGTCTCTCGCGTCCCGAGGGTTATTATGATCAATGTGTGGCCGCGGGCCTGCAGCATCCGCACACGCTGTACGAGACGAGTAGAAGAGGTGAGTCGTGTCGCCGACTGTTGTCGACGTTGCCGTTTATATACACGCGCTGTCACTCGTTCACACACTAACCCACACCACCGCCGTCGCAACCGTTCCATAGTCGTAGTCGTAGTCTTTGTGAGTGGCGTTGGTTGTGCGTACACGGCGCGTATATTATTATAATGTACACATCCGATGACCTCAATTCCAGGTGAAATACGGCCGAGTTTCTTTGCACGACCGAATTAATAAACATTAGACACGAAAAAAGATAGATACAGATGGATAGAACGAGAGAGAGAGAGAGTGAGAGAGCGTGGCGGGGAGAGTAAGAATTAAAATGAAATGGGATTTTATAATACATGCGTGCTGCAGTGTGTGTATGTGTCTGAATTTTTTTTTTTTGCAAACACGTACTGTTGTTTTCCGTGCCCATCACGTTTTTCGGTCGGTTGTACCTATTTGTGTGCGTCAGTATTTATTCGTTTATTTTGTATTGTGTTCGAGCACTGTACATCGATGCGTGTACAAAATGTTTCGGCGGCGGGCCAGCAGAATCCGGGTATCCCTGTGGGGCGTGGTTAGGCCGCCACAGCGAAATCGACGTCATATTGATCACGCTGGAGGTCGCTTATCACAAAGGCCCCGGGCCGGTGCGACCTTTTGTGTTGTGTACTCGGCGTTGCTATACACACACACACACACGTACCTTGTTTCCCATTGATCGACCTCTCCTCTCTCTCTCTCTCTATCTCTCTCTCTCTCTCTCTTTCACTCCTTCTGTTTCCGAATGTTCAAGCCCTCTAGAAATGCCGAAAACAATGAGACGAGTTGGTGGGTGTGTATGTATTATTTATTTTGTATACATAATATACTGCTGGATAACTTAACGTTATCCTATATTTATATCTAATTTAAATAGTTGTCTTGATTTGAATGTAGTTTCTAAAACTTTTCAACTCTACCGACACGCGGTGTAAAACGTTTCACGCGTCTCATATATTCGTCAAATTTTCTCTTATCACTTTGACCTTGTTTAAATTATTTATGCAGCCGAATCTGTCGAAAAACTGAAATAAAACTGCAGGAATCTAAATACTGCGGAAGTTTATTATATTTTTATAATTCCCTACAAAAGAATTTATATTGGTCGTTGAATAAAACGGAAATACGTGTATTTTTTATTCTCTTCCATTCCGCTTTAAATAGATCATATTATTGTACCTATATTTTTTATTTGTATATTTATAGTTAATGTATTATATTGTTGTTGTTTGGGCGGTGTGTACATTTGTTAAAACATAATAATATGTAAAACAATATTTAGAAATATGGAATATAATTTTTCTGCTCAAAATCTGCTTTCCCCGCTACAACGGTTAAACCCGTGTGCCTCCAGCGGACGATTCGTAAAACGTAACCGTAAACGAGATCCGTGTTTTACGGTACTCGGTGTTCCAGTTCGCCGGACAACGGTGTCTGGTAACTGTGTCGATTCCGCCTGGGCCGCCTCGGAGACGCGTAAAAAATAAACTCTACGGCAAATAGAGCGGACCGAACCGCCGGTGGCAATCAATAGGTATACTGGGCCGAGTACTACTTTCCCCTTACTCCTTCTCCTATTTACTGAATCTCCTATTTATGTACACATTACGAAAACATCGATATTCTGACTTTTCTATTTATTATTATATACATCCATTTTCGTGCCTATACCATTTAAGAAAAAATGTATCAAACATTTCACTATTTTCATGCTGGGACAATAAAATATATCGACACAACTTCATTGACGTGTTTCATCAATACAAAATAATCTAAAAGATCCACAATTAAGTAATAATTATTATTAGGTTATTACAAACTATTTTGTATGCACAAAATGTAGGATTTATTTAACTGCCAATTTTATTCATCTTCAGAGTCGTCAAGTGCTTTTTTTAATTTTAGATTATTCGTTATCTACTTCTATGAAAAAATAAACCATCATAGTATTCATTTAAGTATTCATTGTTGTAGCACAGAGTTTAAAATAACAAGCGTAAAATAGATCTAAGCATTAAATGTTTTATTCATCGTGGGTACGTGTTTTGAAGGGGTTGTTAATGGACAATGGTCCTGTGGGCGTCGCCCACCCGATGTTTCTTTTTGTCATCCCCCGCGTGTGACCAACTCCTACACATACGCCACATCTAACTATTAAAGTGTTCCTTGCTCTATGTGAATCATATATTCGTATGTGAGACAAGAAAATAATATAATGTCATGAATAGTTGTTTTTATTTAATTCTATAATATACACAAATAATATGTATATATTGTTTATGTTAAATACTTGAATCTCTTTGATTATATTTTGATGTAGCATAGAAAACCTATTTTTGTTTAATTTAACTTATACAAAATCGTATAATTATAAATTACAATTTATAACTATCAGAATACTATTATTTAAATTATAAACCATGTTGGTTGTTGCCGGTTATTGTAGCCATCACAATTTACGGTTACCGGGCCATTATACAATTTATAAAAATAAAAATAATTCAGATCTATGTTTTCGGATATATAGCTACTTTATTATTTTATTTATTATAATTATGAAGGTTCAAAATACAAAATATATCATACAGTTTAAATTAAGAAAAATACTTATTTATATTTTAAATTAATGTGTAATGAACTACATTAAATTTTGAACTCATATTATTATGATTTCCCTATAATATTATATGTTTCTTTGGCTATAATTCCAAGTTAAATAATATTTAGAACATCTAAACTAGAATAATGTTCTATTAAAAATAAAATTAAATCAACTATTATTGTGTGGTGTGTATGTGTCTAATGCATTAATGCATGTATTTGTTTTCATGTAATTCATTAAGTATGATTTAAAAATACGCAATATGCGTTCTGTGTCTCCTAAAATTAATCATGCATCAGACATTATTTTATTTAAACTCTATAAAATGTACTAAATTTGGATAGTTAGTCGTTAATAACAAATACTTAATAACTACGTCGTTTATGTAATTTATTTTTATATTATACAAATTAATACATTTGTAGGTGACATATATCTTATACCCAGTGGCGTATTTACGGGGGGGGGGGGGGTCCCGGGTCTGGACCCCCCCCCAGAAAAAAATATAATATAATATAATTATTACATCGTAACTCGTATGTGTTTTTTTTATATTATAAACTTGTAGGTACCTAATATTTAGACCCCCCCCCACAAACAATTTCAAAATACGCCACTGCTTATACCTATACAACCAGGCATGAATAAACAATATTGATAAGTAAATTAAACGTAATAACTAATAACATAATATAAATATATCATAATGATGCTCGATCAGTGTTGCCTTATTATGATTTTATTTTTCTAATACTTAAATAATTATATTCATTGAACAAAATCTGTATATTATGTTAGATATAATTATTATTAAATATTAATTAGTACATACCTACTATAATTATTTGTAAGTTAACATGTTTTTGATTTTTTCTACTTGTATTGTTCGAATATTAACTATTGCTATTATAAACATAAATAATATTACAAGACAATATATTACTATTATTAAAGCTGTTTTTTGTAATACATTTATGTAGCACAACATTGTAATGATTTTATCTTAATTTCCCTGCTACTTTAAATAAAAAAAAGTATATTATAAAGTTCCAAAGAGACAAAAATTCTATATTTTCTTATCCCAAATATTTTTCAAATAATATGTACTTCGCTTATCTCATTAATTAAAACTAATTTGTACTTTTACTATTCCTTCTTGCTTGAATACCTATAAATGTATAATTAATTTGCAGATGTTTTATTTTTCTTACATAATTTTTTATGATATAATATAATTAGACTTTTCAACGTTTGTGTTGAAACCAATATACATATTTCAAACATATTTTATCTAAAACTGTGTTTCAGATTTTATTAATTGAGAAATAAAAATAACATACCCGCTTAATGTCTATTTGCCATATGTTGATTTATTATCATTACTAATCATTCGATATAATGAGAAGACAGATCATTTACTATTCGAACTCATATAATATGATATTATGTTAACTTAAATGATACATTACGACCAAATAAATGGAATACATTTTTGTATGTCGTATCATTCAAAGAAACTTTTTTATAAAATAATACAACTCCGCAATTATTTATTATCGTATGTATGATGAGCGAAAAATTACTCATAGGATAAAAATTGATGCCAAAGAAGAGGATTCATCTAAAACTAACTGTCAATTTATTATCTACTTCCATTTCGTCTACTATTAAAAAGGCCCTAATAAAAAAAATGAATTCAACATTCTATAATATTCATAATAAGATCAGCTAGTATTTGTAAATTATAAATTTAACAATTGAATTATTGAATTTTATTTGTTGTTTTTCAGTGCTTTACAATAATGAATAAACCAAATTAAAATATAGTTGTCTGTAATAAAATTGGCAGTAAATACATGCACAAATTGTAGGCATTAATTTGCAGTTTGGTATCACTTTCACTTGGACAATTATTATACATCTCGTAATCAGCTTATATAGATCCTTGTTGTTTTTTTTACAACCTAAGGTCACTGCCGTATTTGCTAAAATGTATTTTTAAAACACCCATATCGTTGAATATACGGCTAAAACAAGTTTTGAAAATTATAGTTAAATAAGGTTAACCTCTTCGGGGAACCATCTGGTCCTAGAATGTAACTGACAACTCGTTGAACATCTTTCAGTAGGTACACTGAATTTCTGAATCCGTATTCCGTGTCTGTTGGGAAAAATAAAATTTTCATAACAGTCCGTCACATCACGAGTGTATTTTTTAGGCCATAACTTACACCTCTCACTCCGTCTCCGTAGGATCATTAATATAATAACTATTTACTCCGAGTGAAACCGATTGATGAGAATATATTATAATAATGTAACATGCTACGTGCATATAATTTCAAAATGTATAAATTCATCTCCAGCCCATCGTCCTGCGCGTATAATATCATTTTTTATTTTGTTGTCACTGCGGCAGATACGGTGACATTTTAATTTCGTGTGTTCCGATGATGGTGCGCACTCGAGTGTGAGTGTCAGGGGGTCCCCTCCTCCGCGCAGTGTCGGTTTATATTCGTCCGTGTCCCGTCGGCGGTGGCACGATAAAATATAAATACAATTTATGATTTTTTCAAACTTCTTCGCCACCACTGCACCGCGTTGGTATTGAGTCCCGTCGGTGCATTGGACTATTATTATAATATTATGAATTATTATTGTTACATAGGTATCACTATACGCTTACGCCCGACGACGAATCGGTACAAACTGTTCTCGACGGCGTCTCTTCTCTGCCTGCCTACCTGCACTCGCTCACATTATATTATGATGATTATCGTCGTTATTACTATGTACTCCCACACGTCCCTCGTAATATAATACTCGTCACACACACTCCGTTTACACGAAATGTGGGAGCGCACCGTTGTCGGGCGTCGGTCTGTGGAGGCCCGCCGCTACAGTCGACGCCCACACGTCCACGGAGTATTAATCGTCACGGGCACACACATCTGTGTGCGTAATAATAATAATAAGTATTCCGTCGCACTCGTGCATATTCGGTTGGACGTGGTGCGTTGTTGTTTACCCGGAGACCAAAAACTCGTTGCCAAGGGTGGTGTAACCGACGGAGGAGAGGTTACTCTTTTTTTTCGGTCGCGCGCCGGGCGTCGTTGCCGCCGCACCAATCGATTCGGTCGTGTCCTGCCCGGTGGGGCTCACCGCCGTCGACGCAGCCCCCCTCGACCGTACTATATTGATCACGTTGCTCTTTCCTCTACGGCTGTTCCCCTGTCTCCGCGCGGGCCACCAGCTCCCCCACGGTCGGTTGCTGAGTCCCGGACGCCGCAGCAGCCGACGACGACGTTGTCCTCTGGGCGCCGCCACCACCCCCCGCGCGTTGTGCATCGACGGACGCTATCGTTGGGCGGCTGCCAATTTTGAGGCAGGTCGTTGCTTTTTACCTCTACCCGCACCACTCTCCCCCTACTAACCGCCCACCGTCATCTCGCCGATTAGAATATAAAATTTTAGCATAACATCACAACCGGTATCGCGAGTATTTGCGTATATTATTATAACTATCGTAACTTATACGAAGGGGCAATCGAGAGGCGGCCGCCTCTGAGTTTTTCAAGGGGTGGTTGGTGGGCGGGCGGGTAGGTAGTGACCGATTTGGTATTATTTTATTCTGTATTTTAATGTTTACTTCGACGGGTTGTTAAAAATATGACAGTATAAACGCCTTTATCGAGTTATACGGGTGGGCTGGTGGAATATTATACTAGCCTCTGAAGAATTTCATGTTCGCCACGTCACTGATCGTAATATTACATTTGTGTTGGACTTATATTCTCTATCCATATTTTCTTCGATTTGTGTGTTTTTTCTCGTCATCAGCGACGACGTAACTACCGCCGCTGCTATCACATTCTTCCACGCGTCGTTGGCGATCTGGTTACTCCTCCCGAAATGTCCTTTCGCATAAACCGACGTTTTGCAGTCACCGTATTCTGATAATATTATATGGGCGGCCCATTTGACTATACATATAGTACATATTTTTAAACTATCTACATTATATATTATTATAATGTATGTTTAATATTATGTTGTTATATTTTTTTGAATGGCAAATGTGTATACGAAGTTTTTTCGGAACTTCATTATCTGTTATTTGTGATTTAATTTACTTCATTTGTTAATTTGTTTAGACTTTAAGATTCGTCTATTTCGAAATTGTATCTATACTAAAAAGCCAAAAACCGAGTAAAACTTATAGTATAAAGTTATAAAATTACAATTCCTTCGTGCCCGATATCCAGTTCCAGTGTGATAGCTAATAATAATAATAAATAGTATAGACTATTGGCGATTGAAAGCTTATCAATTAACAGGCCGGTGGGGGGTGGATCTGTAACGGGGAACATGTAAAATAACATATAAATGATACACAGCGTTGCATCTTATCAATTTCAATCGCCAATAATAGAGCAGAGGCCATATGTATCAACAATTTTTCGTAATTCTATGAACTCATTAACATTTACTCATATAATTTATAATGTGGGTACCTTAGGCTATAATGTACCTCTACACTTCAGAATTTCCGACTATACGTGTTGAAATTCTGTTCGGTTTATTTTTAATTGTTTTAATGAACGTTTTGTGAATTAGATTTTTTTTAAACTGTTATTAAAATACATTCATTGTCAGAATCTAAAATTTGATTGTTTATTAATGCATTTTTTCGTTATTTTTCAGATGCACATTGGGTTCAAACGAAGGCCAGGTGCCATAATCGAGAGCATGCAACATCACGGCAAAGGCGTTTACTCTGGAACATTTTCTGGTAAATTTTATGTTCGTTTTCAAATACTTACTAAGGCTTTATGCATCTCTTCCATGGTTTCCTACAGTTAAGTTGGCCTAAGGCTTCTTGGCTGAAAACATAAAACTACATATATGTTTGTCATTAACTTCATGGGTTGTACCAACAATTTTTTGAACCACCTACAATATATTTTTTAAAAAAATTGTGTTTTCTCAAATAATAATACTTTACTTACTAACTGTTTGTTCATTATTATAGGCACCTTAAATCCAGCCTTGCAAGATCGCTTTGGCCGTCCAAAACGTGACATTAGTACCATTATTCATATACTTAATGATTTACTGTGTGCAACACCACAGTACAGAGCTGCTGCTAGATCAGGCACACCAGCTGTCTGCACAGCCACTACACTTTCTCCTACTGCTGCAGCTGCTCAAGCTGCTACACCATTTTCTACCGCAAATAGTATGTCCGCTCAAACCTCTGCTAATTCTGATAATACCGGTAAGAAATCAATAAGATGTCCCATTTAAAGCATAAACACTTATGTATATATAATTTATTAAATTTGTTTTATAGAGAGTGAGACCAAAGAAAATGCAGCTACTCGTGGAAAAATGGAACGCTTACGTTTGATTATGGAAGAGAAACGTGAACGACGTAGGGCTGGTCGCAACGTGCCTTATGACAAAACTAAAGCAGGGACACAGTGGTCCGCAAAGTCAGAAACCCAGAGTGTTGCTCCATCAGATCCCCCTGCAGACCCAACATTACCTCCTGAACAAGTTGTTGTTTGAAAAACAGCTCTTGAGGATATGAATAATATGTGATATAAATAATTATCCCCACCACTGTTTTAATTTTTTTTTAAATATGTATATTATATATTTATATATAATGACGTATAATACATAATATATATTAATACATATACATTTATGAAAATAGATTTATCAACAAATATGGTCAGTTATACTTTAGGGTGCAATATTAATATTGATTAATTACAGATAGAACCTTCTTAAAATATATTAAAATCATCACTTAATCTGTACCAGACAATTTTTTTTCTAATTCATACAACAAACAAAACCTATGAACCGTAAATAGACAAATTCAAAACCAAACGTCCATAACTTTATAAAAATTAATTTGTAAAGAAACTGTATAGTTTTATGTTTATATTTATAAATACCTAATTTGTTTTAAGTGATTTTTTTTCTAGAAAGTTTAAATATCAGATGATAAGAAAACAAATTGCGATTTATTACCTCAACTTTCGTGAATATAAAAATTTGTAGATGTTTTTAGAATTTTAAATAGATACTGAATTTTGTTTCATCAAGTTTTAATGACATATTATATATGTGTATATATTATTATAAATCACGCGTGTCTGGTTATTAGTATTCGTATGGTTAATGAAATTGATAAAAAAAAAATAAAAAAAAAAAAACTAAAAAAAATGCTTAAATATTGAATATTTATTAGGGTAATTATGTACGAGGAAAGTAATATTTAAGTTTTGTTTGACCAATAGGGGTTTTTTTTTATTCACATCTACATAATAAATTCGTGAAACATAATATTATTATTCAAAACAAAATGTTTTTTTTTCTGTTAATTTGTATATTAAAAAAGAAAAAAGAAAAAAGTTAAACTGACTGTTTTTTATATGATATTAAAATAATTTACCTGCTTTTCCTAAAGTTTTAATTTTACTGTGTAATGTGTATCATATTTTGATACGATTAAATAAATGTTCATAGAGTATGTAATTGTGTTATTTATTGGGCATTTCTTTGTTATTGATTTTAGATTACTATATTACGCAATTTTTATTTTTATTTTTTTCATACATATTAACGTTAATAGTTTATACATCCACTTAGAAATGTATTCATAATATTATAAACCTTATGAATATCAATTTATATATTATTATTTTTAATTTATTTATCAATAATCCTCGATATTTACATAAAAACACTTAATATAAAAATAAACAACTTAAAATTGCAGTCTTGTGTATGTTTAATAACATTTTTTTGAAAAAAAATTTCAAATTGTTAAGGAAAATTAGTTGTACAAATTAATGCATAGTAAATATATTTAATTAAATTTTGATTGAATAATATTATATAATATTAAATATTATTTTTAGCTTAATACCGTTGATTAAATAATTAAGTATTATTTATCAATGATAAAACTATGAAGTTTATGAGTATTGATAATGCAACATGTTTGTGTATTATAACTTAAACTAAAAGTAGCTACTAAACATTAGGAGCTGGTAGCTACAACTGTACCTTAACGTTAAAAAATTCTATTATTTTCTAATTTAAAAACACGGCTTCGGTTGATATTTGTAGAACCTAAAGAAATGTTATCTAATACAAAGATATTATTTTTTCTTATTAATAGTAAAGCATTTTTTTTTTGTTTTTAAAAGTATTTACAGAACTAATTCCAGCATTTAGTCAAGGGGCTCAGGTGGACATGCTGCTGATAAAATTAATTTCTTTCTTAAAATACTTATGTTATTGTCAAATTATTTAAACACAATGCAACATAATATATTTAAAAAAAAAATTATTATTCACTTAATTGAAGAAATTCAAAGTGATGTTACTTAGTATACATAATTTTGGAAATTCTATTAATCTAAAACTGTTATAAAGAGTTTTCCAATGCATCTTAATTTAATAAAGAATGAAAAAAGAATTGCTTCAAATTATGTCTTACTAGTGATTAAATGTAGGTACTGCTGAAAGAATATTTTCTTCTCTTTGACATGTAAAAACATATTTGGGATCAACAATGGAGAAGACTGATTAATTACTAATTAGACTCAATCTTCTGAATATTCATAGGGATATTGAAATATCTCTAGAGAAGTTAATGGCAAATTTACTATTTAGACAAGAGCACCCAAGAAAATTACAGTTTCAATATATTAAGGAATTCAAGGTTAATAGCCAACAGCATTTCAATGTATATTGTTGATTTTTTTTCAACAAGTATTCAATTTTTTTTACTAATTCCGAATTAGTTGTATAGACAATGATTAAAAGTTTATATTAAATTAGTTATACTCATAAGTTATAATATAAACAAAAAATGTAATTGTATAATATTAATTATATTATAAATGTCATTAATATAATATTAAATGTGCTTTGACGTATTCATTTGCAATGAGTAAAAAAAAAAAAAAAATAAACAAAAATATGTTTTAATAAATTGCAACTCGACGTAATATAGGCAACATCCACGTGTCAGTGTATACTAAGTTGCGGTATGCCGGTATATAGTTTGACTAAAATATATTAAATACATTTTTAACCACATTATCAATTAATAACACTAGTGGAACTGTGGAAGGGTGACAAAAACCGAACTTACATAAAATTATTAATTGGGCCCTTTCGAATTAAAAAAAAAGAAACAAGTTAAAAGTGCAGTGATGAGATAACAGTTTCGTCATTAAAATGTACGATTTTGGAAATTTGTTCGCCTTTATACTGTTAAGATGCGATTGAGCTCGTCTTTAAGTCTTTAACTCTTTAAATTCCAATATGATAACCATATCCATTATAGCCATTTTTTTAAAACTGTTGAAAACCTAAATCTCCATTAGTTAGTACCCAGCAATGATTATATACAAAGTATTATATATGTTATAACTTATAATGGAAGAAGCCCGATCAGTTAGTAGTAGGTAAGTACGAGATTGGATATACCTACATATTATATAGAACTACCAAAGTGTCACAACTAAAATTATATAACCAGTAGCCAGTTATAATTGCGCACTGATAACAAATTTTAAAATGTATAATAGAACGAAACAAAATTATTTCTAAGAAATATTTAATTTATTTAGACAAAGGCCTGTTTTGGCTTCAAATAAATTAAAATGTCCTTTTCTTTGACCCGAAGACTATGATGTGGATACCGAACTATGGTTTGTTTACAGATATTAATTCGTGTACCTATGTGTATCAATAATCAATATAAATTTAAAACCAAAACGCACAAACATATTATACGACGAATGATGAATATTAATCACAGAACTTTCATTTCCGGAGACAAGAGTGAACTTTATATTAATTTTCTCCAATCCCCCCTAACCATACCAATCACTCATTTTTAAGACACGAATTGTCGTGTATATGCTCATAAGTTGTTTTAAAATTAAAGTATTAAAAAAGTATTTATTAAAATAATAAAATTTAACTAGGTATTTAACTTTATGAGCAATATTAATATAAAATAGTTTTAAGTATCAGTCTGAATAGACACAATTCAGTTACAGTAGGTAGTTACACAACAATTAACTATACAAACTATTAACTAAGGCATTTTTTAAAAAGCTACAAGCTCTCATAAACGCTTCCCCCCTACCCGCCCCTTGAAGACGCCCCTGCCTATCATCTTTTAGGATTTTACAATTACAATTCCATTTCATTTCATAACCATTTGAATAAATTCAACAGAATTTTAAATAATTCTATGTTCGACGTCAACTTTACGTAATATTAGGGACAGGTTCATATTCCTCCATAACTGAGATACTGATATTCTCCACTGTTCATTTTCCTCCACAATAAAAGTTAAATTACATTTTTTCTATAAATAATAATTTTAAATGTGAAACTTATAAAATTTATTGTTTACACTTCGCGACTTAAGTCTGTTACGTGTAGGACCTAACCTAACCTATACTATAGGTACAAGTGTACAAGGTAGATACTGCAGAACTCCGAAACCAAACATTATGCACTTACTCAAATAACAGTAAAAACGATTTATAATAATAATCACGTAATTATTTTTCTAGAATATAATTTAGAAACCTATGAAAAATATATATTCATAAAGTATACTAAATAGGTACCTAGGTAGTAGGTAGATATTATATAGGTACTATAATTAACTAACTTCGCGTTTTAATAATATTGGTGAAGCATATAAAACAGAACAGTGTACCAACTTTACAAGCCAAATTGATCTATATTTTAAACCCTCCCCATATATGCAGCCACATTGCAACCGTGTGTAAGTAATGTTCAATACAAAGGGTCGTTCCCCTCGGAATACGACACTGAGTCATGCGCTCTTCGCCCCTTTGATAGAATTTTTTTTTAAGACGCACGGCCTCACGTCACTCGTCACATCTCGGGACCTCGGGTTTTCAGCACTATCCGTGTACTCTACTACTGAATTACTGCACGCATATATATAGTTGCCATTGAAATACCTACTTTTGTTTATACGAACTATGGACTAAACATTTATGTTGCAAAAATTAAAACCTTGGATGCGATTTGTGAAAAAGAAATCGTAATGGAATGTCGAAAACATTCTCTATACTACAACTCATAACAGGTGTTTTCTATGTTACAACCTTGATTGTATTTTACAAATTTTTGTGGTTAAATTATTCTATGTGAACTATTCTTTACGTGTTTTTACCTTTTTGTTCAAGTTCATTGACATTTTATTGCGCACAAGTAAATTGTTTTTGATGAATTGCTCCAAATTTCAAATGTATTCTACACAAACTGTTTATTTACGCAAGGACTAATGATTCAATTAAAAATATGTTCAGAATCTGTCGAAAATGGCATTGTACGCAGTACGCATGCGTATACGACTGAACGACTTTACTATAGTCTTACAATATTATATAAAATATGTCAGTGTAATATATATACTGCAGTTGCAGTTGAGTTGTTCAACTATATATTAGTTTTTCTTCAGGTTATTTCAAATTATTTTTTTATAATTAAAAACTTTTATACTTTATTGTTAAAGGTTAAAGTCAATACTGATATATTATTATATACAGGCGGCAGTTATGACTGGGCGCCGGGGCTATTGTTCAGTGTCCACTCTAACGTCGAACCCTTGATTTGCAGGTATATTTATTAATACAATACAACAAGGTTGCTAGGATGCATAATGATGTGTTAATGTGTTATCGTATCTTTTAATTCCAAGTAATTGCATTATTAATTGTGAAACTTGAAATAAATTTTAATAACTTGACTCGTTCAAATGCGGTTTCAGTAATAGGTAACCTAACCTAATCTACTATTATTTTCAGATTATCACCGCCTCACAGTGGGAGGAATTGAGGTTTTACCGCGACAAAAATATATTTCATAATAAAATCATATTATATATATTTAATTATAGTTTTAAATAATATGTTATAATTTATAGGTTTATATTTACAAAAGAAAATTAATAAAATAGCTTAGTTCTAATTATTGTGTGAAAACACGATAGGTAAATAGATACAATATTTATTTAATAAAAAATGTTATTCTGAATCAGAACATACGTCTGAATCTTCTGTTTCTTCATCGTTTTCTGTAATTATTAATTGTTTTACCGAGGATGGTAATTCTGTAAATGGTGTTTTCAAAATGTTTCGCTTAGAAGATATCTCTGGGTCTGAACTAATCAATAGAGCATGCATTAAGTCAGTATTGGTACTTAGTCTTGATATTTTGCGAGTATGATTTTCCCTAAAATTTTTATAATTTTTATTACATGCTTTTTGGGCTTCTTCAGATAATAATCCTATTGGTACAAGTGCATGTTTTATTACAATAGAACCATGTAACAAAATTTTATGCATACTTGGAGGCATGCGATACCAATTATACAACTCAATGTATAATTCGGCTGTTTCTTTACAATATTCATCAAATGACTCAAAATTAATTTCATATCCACTAGATATTGCAATTAATATATCACCTAATTTTTTAATTAGATTTAAATCAACACCTGTTATTTTTGACGACATTTCTGCATTTTTAAAAAATCTCCTTGCTACATTCCCAGTATTCGATGTACCCTGACCTTGTACTATTTTATCAACTTTTATCCCCATATCATTCCAAAATGTTTGTTGAATATTTTTTTTTTGTTGTAAAACTTTCCCCTTCTCTTCTTTAGACATGCGACTAGTTGATTCGTGGATATTTAATTTATATGAAATATTTAAAATGCATTTCAAAAAATTGATCCACGCATGCAATGTAGAAAGCCCGTATTTCAAATTATCTTCATTAATTTTAAATTCTTGTATATTTTTTAAATCGTTCATATTTTTGGGTCCACAGTTACAAATAAAACATCTTTGACTTGACGTATCAGTTAAATTATTTATAACTTTTCCATCTACCATTGTCATAACTAATTTACAGTGAACAGGAACAGAAATATTATTTATAACAATTTCAATTGGGACAAAGGCATTTATTTCATTTTCAATTGCCTCGACTTCTTTGCAAGTATTATATTTTGTTTCTTTTTTATATAAAAATTTAATGGGTCTACAGTAACGCGTGGAAGATGGTGTTAAATTTTTCCATAAAATATCATTTAATATACCAAAAGGTCATACCAAAAGTTAATCGTAAAGGAACAAGAGAAAATAAAAACATGTTTGCATCGGTATATTCTACATCTTGTTCATAATTTTGTTCACAGTCATCAGTGTCGTTATCTCCATCACTACTTGAATGTGGGTCATTTGTATTCTGGGTAAATGCTTGGTGATATTCGGTTTGACCAGAACTTCCATCACACCCCCATTTAAAAATAAACTCAGCCTTTACATATTTTTCAAAAAAATTAAAATCCTCAGGTAAATCGAAAGTTTGGAAGACTCGTCTAACCGTATGGTCCAATAAACTTTGGAGAGGTATAGACACACCAAATTCGTATATTTCTATTCCCTCAGGATAACACAATTTTTTTGCTTCTCGTATTCGATCATATGAAGGATACACATTTACCCCATGTTCTTTTAAACCTAATCGAGTTTGGTGATACACATTTTTTGTCATACGACAGTTAACCATATGAGCCAGCGCTTCATCTACGGTATATGGTATTATATTATTTTTTTCTAATGATTCACGATAAGTTTTCCTAATTTTTGCAGGACGACTTGGAGAGTATTCAGTTGACTGTTTCAATAAATCGGCTGCTGCATGTTTACCTTCTTTAAAAAGTGATACTCTTGTTGCACGAAGTAATCTGTCTGGTGATATTGTCTCCACTAATGGTTTAACTTTACGAATTTTAGATCTTTCAGATAAGTCTGAAAATGGCTTTGATGGACGACCACGAAGATCAACCGTTTTTTTTTTTCGTTTTTTGGCAAATCAAATTTAGTATCTAACCATCGCTCGTATTTTGAAATAAATGTACTTGCAGTACGATTAACCGCTGACCATTTACGATTTAATGTAATAGTATATGCCAAAATTTTTGCATTCAATGCGGCTTCATAATGTTCATCAATAGAATGTTTAATATTGTTTTTAATGTAATCACATAAGAATGAACGACTATCGATGGAACACGGGTTTAACTGTCGCGGACGCTGTGGACCTCTCAGCGCATTGAATAAATCACGGTATGTAATACCTATAAAAATAACTACACATAAATGGGCAACTTTGGGCAGATCATATTTTAAAATTGACTTAATAGTAAGTTTACTTATACTTTATGATAAAAATTAGAGTGCTAATTTACGCTATTTTTTTTTAATATCAATTTAATTATAAAATAAATTATTTATTTTGGTATTTCGTAATTGCAGTTTTAATATTTAATTTTTAATTGAAGGGTTAAATAAATTATTATTAACTATTACATACCTTGTCCAATAGTTTCCATTGTATAAAATGTATAAACTAAATAAACTTAATAATTAAAGATTTCGTAAAACTGAAAACAAGAATTAACATTAACCGTGTGTACTGTGTAGCTAGGTAATGATGATTATTCAAAATTACCGTCGCAGCGTCGCTCTGGTTACTAATAGTATTGATATAAACGAATATAATTTTAGATAAGCATCTATTTTAAGACCACTAGATAATAACAAATGTTAATTACGTAGTTTTTATCTATATTTTGATATATTTTTTTTTTATTTTTGTCGCGGTATTACGTCAAATCCTCCCACTGTGCGCCTGTAGATCAATAGTATTAAAAGTGAAAACTCTCATATACCTAATACGAGAATCTTATATAGGAATTAGCATTGATTATAAATAGGTACCTGGGTCAGTAGGTACTAGCATTTATAATCAATGGTATTAGGCACCAATAGATGTACAAATAAATAAGTATTGTTTGTATTTACTATTTATAGGAACAAAAAAAAAAAAAAAAAAATGTATAACAATAAACAAATTCCAAAACCGGGTAGATAGTCACTATTCTGTATGGTAGACGTATTTGTAATGAAATTCAATAAATCATTGTAAACGAAAAACGATTGTGAGCGGAAGACTCCAGAGTTAAAGCAACTTACTATTTCAAAGGATAATATTTTCTAATTTATTTATGTTACTACTATATGTAGTATTTTATTTATCTACAATAAATTCATTGGCGCAAATAGGGGGGGGGCTTGGGGGGACTTAGTCCCCCCAGATTTCGGTCAAGTCCCCCCAGTTCAAAATCTAGTAATTAGTATTAATTATTATATTCTGTAGTACTAAACATGTATATATTTTAAAAACTTAACCAAATTACAAAATACAATTATTGAAAAAAAATTATTATTATGCTAGTTTTTTTTTTAAATCTTTATAAAAAATACTATAACATATCTTAGTCCGTGCCTCGTGGTCAAACTGATAATTGATAACTGATAAGTAATTTATAGGTGATAAACTATGAGGGCTGTGTCACGAATCACGATCACGGCTATAGTATCTATAGCCAAAGAATAATGCCGTGGTTGCTGTTGACCTCCACAATCGACGGTTTAAGCGCCAATTTTTGAACGGAGCATTTTCTTATCATTAATAATTATTATTTGGGGGACGAGGTGGCCGAGCGGTCGGACACGTCGTCTGCGGCGCTGGCGGTCGCGGGTTCGATCCTCTCGACCACTGGGCGGTATTTTTCTCCGGGCAAGTCGCGGTGTCCGGAGAACAAGTGCCGCCATCCCCCACTCCGGGGCATGGCAGAAACCTACGGGTGCCCCATTCAAAATTCTGCCAAACCCAACACCCACGTGTTCCTCCCCCTACCGACATAACAACACACAAATAAACCACTACAGCTAATGGCCATAGTTGCCGAAGCTTAAGATCAATAAAAAAAAAAAAAAAAAAAATATTATTTGTTACCACGGTCCACGGACTAAGATATATATTTATTACTTACTTGTTAGGTTATATTTTAATATTTATTGGAATAATGGAATCTCTATTATGCCTCTATGAAGTATCATGGTGGTCCATGAGTTTATGACTATTTTATACAAAGAGGTCTAATCATTAGTGCGAGATATGAGAATGCCAATGTCATGAAAATTACAAAATCTATGGGGCCAATGTGAACATTGGCCCCATGAAAATGACAACATTGGCCCTATAAAAAAAAAAACAACATGACTTTGGCCCTTATAGTGATCACTATAAGGGCCAAAGTCATGATTTTTTTTTTTTGTAGGGCCAATGTCAATAGAAAACCTTCTATATTTCACTAAAAAAATCACACCATACTCTAAAATGTAGGGTAAACTATATTTACATCCATCACAAAAACAAAAACATGAACAATAAAAAAAAAAATTGCTATGAATTTTCAAAAAAAAAAAAAGGAGGCTTTATTCTTGATTACTACAAAGTGACTAAAATTGAGATTGGCCCTTTTCGACCCAAGCCACTGATATTAAGGTATTAAGGTCTTTGATTTTATAAAAGTGTTTTCGAGTATTGGCGTGTATTGGTGTATTGCATTCTCCAGTGCATAGATAACTGCAGGGCCGGCGCTAGGTATTGCGGGGCCCTGGTCATAGGTCTTTAGGTTTTCAGAGAGTAGTGAAATTTTAGTTTTTTTTTAAATCAGGATTTTAAAAAAAGTACTGTTTTTATATATAATATAGGTAAATAATTAAATTTAAATAATGTAATGAAACAAAAATCAAATTAAAGCTTATTTTTATCTTTGTTATTCACTTGCCCCATATATAATTTTATGTAATAGGTACTAATAGCAAAAACAATCCGATTTTGCACTTGCCCCATGAAAAGGGGCAAGTGTGACGTTTTAAAATTAAAAAAAAAAAAATTATTCTTAGGTGAGTGATAATATAACTTTGTTGACTATAAATTCAAATTATGTATATCTAGAGGTGTTACATTATGGAACAATAACAACTTTAAATTAAAAACAAAAAAAGTATTGTCAAATATTAAAAATTAACTTTTCATTTTTGCGTCACACTTACCCCACTTTACCTTACCTACTTGTGTAAACGGAGACAACACATTCGAGTGCGATTCCTCCTGATGAAACCTCGCTCAGCACAGAATTATTGGCGTAGCGTGAGTTTCAGTTAAACCTTTGAGTGGAAAATCGTAGGCCAATAAATTCATAAGGGCTGGTTATTTTATTAATTTACATTTATTTTAACAACTACATAAAATCATCAATTAAAAATAAATTAATTCATCAAAATGTTTGAATAAAATAATAAATTGTTTAATATCTAAGTACGCGACCGCTGCAGGCAGAATAATGCAATATACGACGGTAGACCACGGTATTAGTATTAAGATGATAATTAAAAATCACGGGGCCCTTTAACAAGCGCGGGGCCCTGGACAAATGTCCCATTTGTCCTCCCCTAGCGCCGGCACTATAGATAAGTATAATATAAGTGCTCCAGTGCGTATGCTGTAGGTTAGGTTAGGTTATGCTGTAGGTTTTCAGTATTTATAATGGCCATTGCACAACTCATGTATAACTTATTTCAGTTTTTAAACCACGTGATTTTTTTAAGTCAATAATGTACAGTGCATTTTTTACTAAATAACCATGAGTAAGTTTTTTGACATTTTAAAGAAAAAGAAAATAGTTACAACTGGTGACATAAATATACCAGTTGAAGAAGAAAATGAATCTCACCCAATGCTTACTGATGTTAGCGTTTGCCTAACACTTACTGCAAGTAACGTTAGAGGGATTTATCTAATAATATAAATACAGAAGATATTTTAAATGTATTTGCCGAAAAAGAACGGAGAATTTTGTTAAAATAAATATATTCTAAAAATGTAATACTTT